AAAGACATTCATTTAAAAAAGTTTTCTGCCAGTGTTATGCAACCTCTATTTCTATTCATGAAGAATTATTCTCACTTCAAAACAAAGGGCTGTCGAATCGGAGTCTTGGAATCAGTTGGAAGCAATTTTGGGTGGAGTTGGAGTCAGTAGAAATGCACCAGTCTCGCTGCAAAATAAACATAATATAACAATACAATGATAAATATATCATTTTGTATTTGCATTTTATACATAAATATGTTCTATCAGTCTAAGTAGCCTGTGGTTCATGTGATGGTGATGAAATACTTTGTGCTACTATTTTACTACTGTTAATTAGTTATTACTAATACATTTATATTTGCCAGTTGGACTAGAAAAGAGTTGGACTAGAAAAACAGAGTTTAAGGCTTGGCACACTAACTCTACAGATTTATCAAAGCATTTGCTCTATCATCTTCCTAAAATCCAGTTAGAGCTAGAGAAGGGGCTAGCTAAGGAGAGAGAAAATCGTACAGTTAATCAGGGTCAGTCATGGTTAGTACTTGGCTGGAAAATCACCAATGACTACTAGATGCTGTAGGTTATATTTCAGAGGAAGGAACTGACAAAACCACCTCGAGTGTTCCTTGCATAAGAAAACCCTATGCAATTCATGAATTCAACCTAGACAATGGGAAAATAAAAAATAGTTACAGAGTTCCCATACCTAGGTCAAACATGCATCTGAACAGATACTGCAGTCAGGAAATAAGAAGACTAGGAATGGGAAGGGCAGCTATGAAAGAACTAGAAAAGATCCTTAATAGTAAAGATAAACATCTAAGCATACCACGTATGGATGTGAAAGCTGGACATTGAAGAAAGTGGATAAGAAGAAAACTCATTTGAGATGTGATCCTGGAGAAGAGTGCTGAGGATATCATGGACGGCCAAAAAGACAAGTGGGTCCTTGAACAGATTGAGTCTGAAATCCCCTTGGAAGTCAAATGATCAATTTGAGGCTATTGTACTTTGGACATATAATGACACAGACTACTAGAAAAGACAATGCTAGAAAAGGTAGAGGAAGACCACATTCCAGATGGATAGATTCAGGAAGATCACAGAGATGAATCTGCAGGGCCTCAGCAGGTCAGTGGATGATAGGTGGGCATGGAGCTGTCTTGGGGATGACCAGGGGAGCTAACAACAACAAATGCAATTTACAAGGTTGCTGTAAACTGACAGGTGACTTGACACAATTTCCTCCCCCCCCACTCCACTACCATTTTTGGTTGGGACTTGAAGGGATACACAAAATCAATAAATGCCCTTCATGCCCCCTTTTTTCTTGGTTCACCATTTGCAAGTTAGAACTGAGTATATATGTAGTTATTCAGTGTGAGTGAGAAGACAAGGGTTGTGAAGGCTAATGGAGCCCACCGGATTCCGGAA